TTAGTTTTGTCCGTAGCTAGAGCTTATCTGTGATTTCTTTGTGAAGATGTGTCTTAAAAAAAACCCAAACCAAACAAAAAAAAAAAAAAAACCCAAACTAACCAAACCACCAAAACAACAAAATAACCCCAACAACAACAAAAAGCACTTGGTAAAGTAAAGAAAAATGTTCCCTGGACTCTGATCCTACCAGGACTTTTCACCATATTCAGCTTTACCCACTTTATCTGTGATTTCTTTGTGAAGATGTGTCTTAAAAAAAACCCAAACCAAACAAAAAAAAAAAAAAAACCCAAACTAACCAAACCACCAAAACAACAAAATAACCCCAACAACAACAAAAAGCACTTGGTAAAGTAAAGAAAAATGTTCCCTGGACTCTGATCCTACCAGGACTTTTCACCATATTCAGCTTTACCCACTTATCTCATTGAACTATTAACATGATTATAGCCAAATGCACAGGTGTCTGCAAGTTGAAGACTTCATTTATCATGCTCACTTCGTATCAAATCCTAATTGCAGAGGAGTCAATTAGGTATTTTCCTAGGAACTTTACTGGCATAAAGATTTGCCCACAAACCATTTGGTGGAATTTACCGGGTCAGATTCTGAATCTAGCTAGAGTAGCTCTACTGACTCTCACAGAGATGCTCTGGAACAAAACAAAGCAAACAAAAAAAGACAGAAACTAATATCTAGAATTGTTGCATGCTGAAAAACGGTCTACAACACTATTTAGACATATCCATATAGGTAAGAGCCTCTCATATGGCAAAACTATGCCACAATGTGGGTAAAAGGGATCCTAAATTACAGTGCAGGAAAATGACGGTTTATGTAACTCTGAAATTTCCATGCTACATCATCTACAAATAGACATCTCTGTATCACCATGCTAACACTCATGTTTTCTTTCTAGTAGTTATACAGATGGCCTTACAAAATTAGATTAAACTCCCCAAAATGTCTGCTAAAATATTCATTATTTGTGATACCATTTAAAATTCTAAAGCGTGGATGCCATTACATCCCATTGGGATCAAGAGCAGAAAAAACCACCTCAAAATACATGAGTGATTAACACGTGAACCCTTCGCTTACCTCTGTCATTACCATGTCCTGGCATTTTTTCACATATTTGCCATCTGCTTTCACGATGGTCTGCAGAAATCGCAGGTACTCCACGTGCCGCCCGTGGGTCTCGATGCAGTGCACAAAGTGCTGCACCACTCGTTCACTAATTTCGTTACACAGAAGGTAATTATTCATGAAGATGTGCCGCATGGTTTCAGCTTCCAGGAGCTAAGCAGATTAAAATCAAAAGAGCCTTATGAGAATCACAGAATCACAAAATATTTGGAGTTGGAAAAGACCCACACGGACCACTGAGTCCCAACTCTTGGCCCTGCACAGCCCCAAGAATCACACCATGTGCCTGAGAGCATTGTCCAAATGCTTCTTGAGCTCTGTCAGGCCTGTGACCATGAGCATTGCCCTGGGGAGCTGTTCCAGTGCCCAAACACCCTCTGGGCGAAGAACCTTTTCCTAATATCTAATCTAAACCTCCCCTGACACAACTTCAGACCATTACCTCAGGTCCTGTCACTGGTTGCCAGACAGGAGAGGTCAGTGCCTGCCCTTTTGCTGCCCCTCATGAGGAAGTTGCATACAGCTCAGTCTCCACTTCTCCAGGCTGAACAAACCAAGTGACCTCAGCTGCTCCTCACATGGCTTCCCCTCAAGGCCTCTCACCATCTTCGTAGCCTCCTTTGGACACTCTCTAATAGCTTAATATATTTCTTATATTGTAGTGCTCAAAACTGTCCCCAGGACTAAAGGTGAGACTGCACCAGCACAGAGCTGAGTAAGACAATCCTCTCCCTCGACTGGCTGGCCAGGCTCCTCAATCCTAATCCTCACACTCTTTATAATAAAAGCATGTTTTGCTCCATAGATTTGCCACCAAGCAAGGGGTCAACCTGTATAAAGATATCTGTAAACACACAGGTACATATATACACAAAGGGACTGTGACAAAGAGGTCTATTCTAAAGACAGTAATTCATTTCCAGTTATAATATTCTACTTAAAATGTGTGCTAGCAGCCCAGAAAGCCAGTTGAATCCTGGGCTGCATCAAAAGGAGTGTGGCCAGCAGGTTGGAAGAGGTGACTCTCCCCCTCTACTCTGCTCTCATGAGACCCCACTGGAACACTGCGTGCAGTTCTGGTGCCCTCAACACAAGAAGGACATGGAACTGTTGGAGCAAAATTGGGGCTGTTCAGCCTGGAGAAGAGAAGACTGCAAAGAGACCTCATAGCAACTTTTCAATATCTGAAGGGCCTACAAGGAGCCGGAGAGGGACTATGTGTTAGGAACTGCAGTGACAGTACAAGGGGTAACGAGTTCAAACTGGATGAGGGGAAATTTAGATTAGATATTGGAAAAAAGCTTTTTACTGTGAGGGTGATGAGACACTGGCACAGGTTGCCCAGGGAAGTAGTGGATGCCCCAACCCTGGCAGTGTTCAAAGCCAGGTTGGATGAGGCCTTGAGCAACCTGGTCTAGTGGGGAGGTGTCCCTGCCCATGGCAGGGGGTTGGGACTAGATGATCTGTAAGGTCCATTCCAACTCCTAAAATTCTATGATTCTATGAAATACTTACCCCTGGAGTTAAGAACAAGTTGAGATTTTTGTGGAGGAGAACTTGATTCTGAGGATTTCCTCGACAGAAATTCTGAAGGAAAGTGTGGGCTAGATTCATAACTTCATTCATCTTTTCATCACTCTGCAGGAAGAAAAGACAAACCAAATCAGCTGGGCATAGCTAAACATACTTGTTAAAACCACACAATGTCAATTCAGCCAGGAACAAAGCAATTCTCCTGAGCCTTTATAGGGCAGGAATTCCCCCTCAGGCAAAAACAACTGATCTAGTTTCCTTCAGAGTCCATTTAGTGGCTGTACCTTACTCTCAATCAACTTGACCGTAGCAAATCACATGTAGGAGCACACACTCAAAGTAAGATTTCCTCATATGTAGTTATAATTTCCTAGTTCAAAAAGTGCAAAGTGGCTTGATTTTCAAAAAAGCCAAAAACTCTCTAGCCTAATTAATTTTAAGCTTTGGCAAAGCTTTGGTTTTTGTATAGCTACGTACAGAAACAGATATATGTCTGCACCTACACAGATACATATGTTCATACACACACTCCCACACAAATGTATGTCTAGTTTCTTCCCCTTTTTGTAGTCCCCTTATGTTCCTCTTATGTAATTATCTTATTCTATATATCTTATATCTTATTATCTCCATATATCTTACTATCTTATTCTAATTATGATTGGATGAACCACCTGTATGGACAAGCACTATTTTACTGACAACAGCTGAACCCAAGTGTCTATATCATAACATCAATGGGTGTAGCCCAGAAGAGATTTTATCTCCTCTTGATGCTTCCTATAAGATCTAGAAAGATGTGCTCTTTAAAAGACTATCCAGATCATTTATTTGTATGCTCAATGCCACTAAATCAGTACAAAATCACATTACCTTGTGAAAAAATTGCAAGTGGAACTAGGTTAGAGACAACTGCCACAGAAACAAAGACGTTATTTCAGACTTGATCTTTGAAAGCTTTTGGTCGATTTTATGTGTCTACAATAGCACTCACATCAGTACCCAATAGTGGGATTTAGGTTCCCTGCCAGGAGCTCTGTTACACCAATACTTCTTACTGTGCAGTGAGTGCAGGTCTAAGGTTTGCCTATTTCAAGAAAGAGGGCAGGAATGACAGTGCCATGACATCCAGGCATTAAACTTCAGTTCTCAAGCAAACCTGTTCTGTGTAGCAGCCATACTGAAACTGAGCCCAAACCCATTCTTCTTAAGGTAGAAAATGGCATCGTCATTTCATGATTCTGCCACATTTGCCTGAATTCAGTTTTACAAAATATTCGCATTGATTCCTGGGCCTCTTGAGGGCTTTCCCTTCACTGAGTTCATGTTCTTTACCACTAAAGTTAAGAGAATCACCTTTTCATAGGGGATCTGCAAAAGGTCCAAGACTACCAAGTGGGCACCCATATTTTTCAGCAGTCGCTGCTGTTGATTCCGACATTTTTTATTCTGAACACAAAGTTTGCTGAGTCGAATCAAAATCTATAAACAAACAAACAAACAAACAAATAAGCATGTGAGCAAGCAAAGAACCAGTTATGTCCCACCAAACCAAACAAAAAAACCTTTCTTTCAAAATAATTACTGCATCTACTTATCAAAGAAGTATGTCAAGCAAGTTCCTTAGCAGATGTACCAACCTCTTTAACAATACTGTAGTTATTGCTTTTAATGCTGTCTATCTGGGGTTTTTTGGTCCCATCCTGTATTGGACTCAAAATGTTTGACTCCTGTAACAAAGAACACATGACAAGTGGAGATTTATTGCAATTTCCTCAACATGAACTAATTGTATTTAATAACAGCAACTGAAGAAGTATTCCTGCAACTGATAAGGAATTGATATAACACAGATAATAAAGAAAAAGATTAATTTATTCTTTATCCATCAGTCCAGTGAGTGAAGATTCACAGTCAACTCCTTCCTTTGTTTCAAATTTCCAATGTAATTTGGGGCAATTACTCTATGTCTTCATGCTTCTGATCACCCTAAAGAAGAATATGTCCCTAAAACATAGACTAGACATCCCAAGGAATTCAAATACTGTGAGAATATGGACCCTGAGTGTATTTCAGCAGTGACCACGTGTTCCAAAAATCTGTAATACAGATGGAAAGATTACAAACTCTGTGTATGTAAACACTAAAGAGTCTGGAGAAGGAGCTTAAGACAACCTCTGCAGTTGAGAAAAGTAGGGTGGAGTTCTCAGCAGTACAGGAACAAGTAGCATGTGGAAATCAGAGATGTTCCTCCCACCAAGAGGACGCTTCTGTCTTTATCTCTGGGTGATGCAGGAGAGAAGTTAAAAGCAAATAGGAACCATTTGTTAAACTGCAACATGAAGTCATGACACCCTATGCTCTGGGTCTTGGCTCTTAGAAAGCCCCAGCTGGTTATGATAAATAACAGAAATCAAGTCAGCAAGTAACTGCCAACACCCATGCACCTTTCCATGCATTTCCTTTCAACCAAAACACGGAAGAACGTCTACACAGATGCTGCCACTAAGAATACTGGCAGTGTTGGGTATTTTTGCTGCTGTCAGCTGTGGTAAGCCTTTCTTACCTGGAAACACAAAGAATTGAAAGACTGGACTTTGGATGCTGAACTTATTCAGCGTGTAGAAAAACTGCAGCAGACCTCAAGACAGCCTCGCAGCATAACCACAAGGATGTAAACCAGTGTAATGACATTAAAAAAAGAAGAAACAGGTGTGCTTCTGAGTTTCATTGTGTCCTCAAATTTCCGACTGTTCTAGAGAAGAGAAATTACACTAGAACACACATGTGCATGGCAAGCTGAATGTTTATATGTCTGGAAACCTCTCCCTGAACTTTCTTAGCTGATGGTGAAGATGAGGAGTTCTATAAATCCCATCTGCTCCTAATTTCCAGTGAGGTAAGAACAGCTGCACCATTTGGCCATGGAAGCTGTTTATAACAGTGTCAGCACTGGTCCTGTTGATCTATGTAACAAGAGTGGATTTTTATTTGTTTAGGTTTGTTAGTATGCAGGCTGCCTTCTCTCTAGCTGTTTGAATCAATACTTTGGAAGATATTTCAGGCTTTTTGCTATAATTAACCACCCTCCTCTGTTCTGGGACTGTGGGTTAACCAAGATTAATTTACCTGTTAGCTTTATCAGCATTCTTCGTCAATCAAAGTAGTTTTATAATCCATGTGAACTCTATGTCTTATCTAGGAATAGTGATCAGCATTAAACTGCTGAATTTATCCTTTCTCTTAACAAAATAAAAAACTGTTTACTGAACCCATAAGAGTATGCCAGAGATGCAGTTATCAAGAGGTAATCACACCACTGGGATACCAAAGGGACTCAGTTTCATATCTTGTCTCATTTTTAGACATTCTCCACAGGGGACTGGGAGGCATAGAGATCTCACTGAGAAGGGTTCTCAGCTGAGTACCCCACCTTTAGGAATGGTATTTTCTGAAAAAGACTGCTTCCTCTATTCATAAAATTCCTGGAATACCACTCTGTGTCAGTCTTTGGCTCCTTTCTTTCTAGCCCCCAAATTGAGGCCCAGATTCCAGCATCCAGTCTCAGCAGTTCCCTGCAATTGCCACAGTCTCACTCATCCCAGCAGGACAGCAGTGCAAGGCACTCCTCAGGGTCCCTGTGGCACAGCTTTGCACCCCACAGGCTGTATTTATTGACCAGGGGAATGAGGAACCCTCTCAGAAGCTTCAGTTCACAACCTCAACCTATATACGATATTTGTTTAAACACCCCCAGAACCAAAGCAAACTGCAACAGACCAGAAAAGGGAGAGAGCAAGGGAAGTCCAGGAGCTTAAGGGTGCTGAAAGCTTAGACCACTTGAAACAGCACTGATCTTTATCAGCAGATGACAAAGAGGAGAAGCTCCATAAATGCCACTGCACTGTCTTCCAGCTTCACCCAAGGGTCCTTTCACTTAACCTATTTCTCCTCCTCAGAGCTGTGTTTCTGGTGCTACACCACCAATGAGACCACTCCAGGGACAGGACAACAAAGACCACACTTTTCATAGTCCATGGTATCTATACAGACTCAGAACACCATTACTAGAGAGAAGCAAGTGAACAAGTTTTATCTGCTTTTCCCTTCTCAAGCACAGCTCAGTTTTGTGAGGTCATTTTCAGCATTTGCTCCTAACCCTATATGGTATCCAGTTTATGTCTGACCTAACCCCAAGCACTATTTCCTATAACTGATCTCCAGTTTGGATCAAGAGATCCTGCATGGACATAAGATTTGCCATTTTTCTTGTGGAGAGTGCTAGATACTTTAGAAGAACAAGGCTTTTTTTTTCTACAAATCCCATTTGTGGGGTCATATGACTGCCAAAAAAAAAAAAAAAAGTAAGTTTCTAGCCCATCAGGTTTGAATAGAAAGGTGGAAATGGTTGCCCAAAAAGACTCAGAAGCCTGAAGGCAGCAACATATATTGGACATTTTAAAAATCTTTCAATGTGTTGGGTGAGGACAGAAATTTAGGCTTAACATAAGAGTGTTCTGGAATGTAATTTAAGCCTTTTTGTGCATTCTAATGTTGTTTGGGAAAAATTAAGCACAGGCAAATGAAGCATATTCCCTAAAGGCCTAGAGGTTCATCCAGCTCAGCACTGAATATCCAGTATCCATTCCAAGAAAGCATGGATCTCATGGGATTTTTAATCTGCTTGAAGCTAGCCACCTGGTTCACACACTGTAGGTTATGACCAGCACCTCACCTCTTACATCTGACTTAGGATCTCAAAGAGAGTATTGACTGTCTAACACATTTCTTCACTGTTAAAAAATAATTTCACGGGAAAAATAATGGACCAGATTCTGAGCTATTGTAACCTGGCACAGCTCTCAGGGAATTACCACCAGATGATCTAACCAGCAGATTACATATTGCTGTTCTGATACAATAATCTCTCAGATCTGCCAGAGATAATATTGTGCATCCACTGAAGCACTGCTAATCCATACAGACCCAGGGATGCCTCGTGGGAAAAAAACACTGAAAATATCCCATTGAGAGATGCCTCTGTTTCAAGTACATTGCTTTGCCCACTCTTCCTGGAGTTTCTTTGCTGTCCATAGGAATATAAAGGATCTTATTACACTTTTAAAATGCATTACAGCTGAACAACCTTGTAAATATCCTGCTGCAATTCTGTATCCTGTTTCAGCATTACCTTTTCCATTCATTAAATACATAAAGGAACATTTTCTTTCCTACTAGAGCTATGCTTGAGGAAAGAAATTTTAAGATCATAAAGTCCAGATTCCTCTCTAGTTCTGACACCACTAAATTCAGCTTTAGATCAGAGAAAGAGTAGGACCTATACTGTCATAAGAAATTGGGATTCTCCCTTGTGTTGGATTTGCCCCCATAAGAAGCCACCAAGAATCTGCTTTCCCATCTAAAAGGCCAAGTGTATGTCATAGATATCTGCAAACATCCTCTCTGTTCTTGATGGCTCCAACTTTCCCTCAATGCATGAGCTTCACAATGCTGTAGAATCTCCACTTGGCTTCCTACTAAGCTTCCACTGGTGTGTTCCTGGACCATTTTTCTTGACACCAGGGAGGACTCTAGCATGGAAGAGAAGTGCTGTGGTTCATCTCTCCTCATTTCCTCTGATGAAAATGGGAGTGGGAATAGATCTTGGTGGGACAGCCTGCTCTCTCTACTGTTAGCAAACCTCAAATCATTGCAACTCTTGCAACACTTTGTTTTCTTAAAGACTTACACTGTTAAGTCTTTACATGAGTAAATGACAAGTAAGTGATTACACGATGACCTCATTTTTCACTGAAACCCAAAATTTAAAAAAGCCAGATTCAAGTTCTAAAGTTTCTCAAATCACAGTATATCCCAAAAGTGTAGTATGACAAGGGCCAAAAACTCAAAAAAATTAGGTCTCCTATAAAAGTTCAACATTCTTAGGTCAGTCTTAGATTGGTGAAGAGTAGAATTACTCCTGATGCTTGAAAATATGGGTTTGATCGCACTCCTCTCCCTTAGGTGCCGGAACACTATCCACTCCATTTTTCTTCCAGCAAGTCAACACAATTTCCAACACATGATTTCTAGATTGCTTCCCTGGCCACAAAGTGCTGCCATACACTGTGGTTTGCTCGCTACCCAGAAAGGAAGGCAAATCTGTGACATAACACAATTACTGAAAGCAGCAGGAGAAACTGCTGAACAGATTGATAAAAGAAGTTTTATTTCCTTTTCTGTCTATTCCTAAAGCTTAGCCAGAACAGTGCACATTCTCACTTTGCTACTTTGGTTAACCAGACCACAATTTTGCAGCTGTTCATTAAGCTACCTATCAATATTGAAACAATTCTAACAGCAAAGGCTTTAAACCCACCTCCATTGGCTCTTCTCCCCCTTTGGTCTGATTGTCGCCCACCTCTCCACTCTCATAATTGCTGCTCTTCTCAACCCACAATTCTGATTTTTCTACAGTCAGACGCAGCTGATCAAGATCAGCCTTGATTTGCTTGTAGTTGTCCACATCTTGATTGGACACCAGCAACTGAACCTGGAAATGCAGAAAATTGTAAAGCTATTACAGCAGTAGCACCAGCACTTATGCCTGGGTAATTTGCTTGACAGTTCCCATTCTAAGCCTCTCTTTTCATGTGCTTTATGTAACCTTCCCTAGGAAATTGAAGCATGGCACACACAGGCTTTTTAGCCCCCATTCATCAAAAGCCTTTAACAGAGACAGAGACTGTAGTTGCCCAAAACAGGATAGTTATAACGTTCACAACATTTTCTTGCCTTCCTTAATACACTCCAAAACATTTTCAGCCCAAGCAGATTTACAACCTCTTGAGTTCTACGCAGAGTGAGCTCTGTTGCACTGATTATGCTCCTCATGGCATTAAAACAAGACAATTACATGCTATTAAAGAAATACAGTTAGAAATAGCTAATCCTTCAGCACAGTACCTCAGAAGGAAAAGGGGAAAAAAAGGATGATATAACAAGGAATCAAGACATCCAAAGAAAAGTCAGAATGGTCAGCAATTTCCATGGTCACCGACATCACCAAAGTCAAATACTGAAAAATAACAGATTTTAACACTGTTCAGGCCAGTCTAGAAAAAAATCATTTGACTATAGCTCACAAACTGACTTACAGGTTCATGTAACTTCTCACCGAGTGGTTTCCTCTTACTAAGATTAATCCCATTTTTTCTTTTTATTTTTTTGTACTGCTCAAATTATCTGGGGTTTTTCACCATTATTTGTAGCTCTTGATTTAGCATGACCTACACATTTTCCTTCTTTGTAACATTCTCTGTTCAACCAAGACTGTTAATGAGGATAATGCTCCAAAAAAAGTAATAACAATCTTTACAGTAAATCAATAGCACTATTAAGAAATCACACTTATGTAAAAGATTAAGGTCACATGGCAGACAAGAACACTGATAGGGATGTCCTTTTTTAAAACAAAAAACACACACTGTGCAGGCAAATATTTGCTATTTTGTAATATAAAGTTTTCAGCATCATCTCTCTTGGCTTAGCAAAACCTTGTTATTTTACAGAATTTATGGACGCTGCTCCTCTGCAGACATTCATATTCCATGTTTTATACAGTCCTCTATGTTTATTTCTCAATCAGCCTTTTCCATCCTTTACAAAAACACCTTAAGCCACTTGGTCCTTGCTCACCTGGGAATAACAGCTATTTATGCAACCAGCATGGCCTAACTTTAAATACCTGGTGGGAGGCCATTATGCTACACAACAAAAACATTCAACAAAAGCTTTTCAGGTCTTTATCATTCATCTGTTTTTAAACAAGAGAAACCTCCCCATCTTACATAACGATGAGACAACAAGCTATCAAGCTCCTGAAATAAGCATCAAATGGTCTTATCAACATATGTTATATAGGGTTATGTAACAGAGATGTCTCTGTCATCCAGCCCCATGACATCAGATCTCCCCATCCTAATCCACTGACACATGGAGCCTGCACATGCACCATTACCAAAGAGAAGGAATAAAAGCTGAAAACAGGCTTTGCTCTCTTTACTGCCTTCCTGATACTTGGGCACATCTGCATCAGGCAGTGGAGCACAGTGCAGACACCTGAATTAGAACTACAAACATAACAGAAGAACTTTAGACCCAACCTAACTGGCCCCGAAGACAGGAAAGTCTTGTTGCTGACACCAGTAAACTGCTTGCTGACCATGAGGCACTGACTCCATCGTGCCTCACTGAGATGCATGTGTCCAGCTGTCACCACATACCTGCATTTTACCCAGTGGATGCAATGCTATATTATTATTACTATATTATTATTATAGTTATATAATATAATAGTTATATATTATAATAGTTATATAAAAAAAAAACACAGCTCTAATATACACTAGGACACACGGTCATATCTAATAAAAAAAAAAAAGAAGTCTGCTGCTACTGGACATCTAAGGAAATAACACTGTCATGCAGCAAACAGCAGTTTAGGTAGCAAAGCAGCCTTTGGAAAGACTCCCTGCATTCAGTTTCCTGGAACAATGCTGTGCCCATCCATACCTGTTTAAATGCTTGCAGAACTTCTGCTCTCTGGCTGAAGTGCTTAAACAGCAGGTGCAGAGCACCTGAGAGCAGTGGAGGGTAGTCATGCATGATGAGGTGAATGAGGACCCGTAAAAAAGTTCTGCCCCCTTCATCATCGAGCTGAACAGCATTCTTCTCCTTCCTGCAACAGAAATGGGTGAAAGGACCAAATAAAGTAAAATAAACAAGATAAAATCAGATCTTTTGACATAAATATGCCTATACACACAATCTTCATTTGACAGAGCTCTTAAAACCAAATCAAATACACTGCAGGAAGGAAACTATAAGTATCACTTTAACATATTTTATAAGGACTATCCTACAGGTATGCGTTGTTGCAGCAATCTTGTAGTGGAATGGACACTATAGAATGAAAGTAAGTATATATGAAATGTGTCAAATATTGTTATTAAAATCCCTATTGCAAAAACATTCATTTATGTTTCAGATAAGTTGTACCAAGCTCATCCCCAGTCCAAATTAATTGAAGCAAACCTCGTTTCACCACATATTAATTTGACCCTTTCCTTTTCACTTCTTCCCTTTTCAGCTGCTATTAAAATTTCATTTAAGAAAAAATAAGATCAAAAATAGTAAGAATTGCCAAAAGCATCATATTTCTAGAATCATATTCATAATGTGGAATGGCAGAAAGCAGATTTACACTTAACATATCAAAGCAGAAATAATGTTTCCAAGAAACCATTCGGTCTCTCTGTTCATTTTAAAGATGCAGATGCCAAGGGCTGTGTGTTGTTTTACATTATGGGAGTTCAGGGAGAGGACTGGAGGCATTGCTTGTGCTGGTAAAGTTCGAGAGCGCATAAGGGACTGAGAGACGAAAGATCACAGTGCCCATAATGTGGATCCTTCTCCCTAGCTCCAAGAAAAACTTTCAAGTCTATGGCCTTGTCTAAATGGAATTAATTTTTACTGGTATAATTATAATTATACCCATAAAATTAAACCAATATAGTGATAATGGTAATAACTCTCCAGTGTGAGTATTTTCCATGCTTTTTTTTTTACTGTTCACACATTGTTGCAATCTCTTCCAAAACTCTGCAAGCATAACTTGTGATCTACAGGCCTCTGGTGGTCCAGAAGATCATGGCAAGTGGTCCACTCGTGATTTGAGGAGTCATAAGAAAGACATTATTGTTGACATAATTTTTAAAGTATGTTCAAACACAAAACGCAATGACAAAAGGTCATGTGGTCTATGAGAAATACTGAAGGTCAACAGTAACCTACTGATCCAAGAAATTTGGGGTTACAGCCATAAGGCACAGCAGGAAAAAAAGTCTTTCTTTAGAAGCATCCATGTGAGGCATTGTAAGAAAAATAAATACTGTCTTTTAGCCCAAAATTCTTGTACACCATTCCCCAGCTGCTTTTGGGAACATGATAAAAAACCTTCTAGCGACTATCTTACAACTAAGAGGGTGATCATTTCCTACCCCACAGCCATCCAGACCAACTGGGCTGTTATCTTGTTTGAAATCCAGGTCTTTTCTGGCACATTTCTGTCTGTGTATAGGTTATGCAATAACAAGCAGCCAAAGAAAGAGAAAGGGTATGAATGAATATAAGCACAGAATGATCAGACACTGTCCATGAGAAATATCCACATGAACAAACATGTATATGTATACACACAGGGGTGAAAGTTTAGAGAATATACCTGCCAGCAAACATGGTTTCAGCCTGAGCTGCAATTTCATCTATGTCAGGAACAATTGCTGGAAAAAAAAAATCGAAATCAAAATTTAAAAAACAAAACAAAACCCAGTGATCATTGTTTAATCTGCGCAGCAAAATGGAACTCTGCTCCTCTTTACAGCAGAGGTCTAATTATTCATTCCTCAGCTAGGTAAAATTCACTGTCTGCAAGAGCAGCAAGGAAGAAACAGGAGATGAGGCAGAGTTAAATTTTGTATTACTATTCCACTACTGAGAAAGAGACAAATTGTAGTGACAAATCAAAGCCCTGTGGTGCTAGTAGCACTACTAACCACCAGCAGTGACCCACAAATGGCACAGATTATGAAGCTTCTACATTTTTTATTACATGAGTCAACCCCAACAAAGCATATGCACAAACTTTAGACTATTTATCATAAACCAAATAATTTACCACACTCACATTTTCCTTTAGAACAGCTTTAATATAACTTATTACTTCCAGCTTTAGTACCCTTATATTATATATGTGCTCACCTCCAATTGGAGCAGCTCTCCCCTACTTGCAGGTACACACAGACCTTTTAAGCAGTTGTGTGTGCATGGGGAGGCTCCCCGGAAAGCCACTCCATTCCTGTACCATATTCACCTCACCTCAATCTGTCCTCATTCAACCCCAAACATTCTTCATGATCTAGCACTCCATTTCTCATTCTCCAGAGTTTTGGGAAGAGTACAAATAAGAGAGCAAAATATCATCATGGGAAAATGGAATCCCATGTTTGTTAGAGGAACAGTCTAGCAAAAACATTTTTGTGGAATTCCTTAAAATTTTCATTTTTTCCACAAGCTTTTCAACTGCCAGCAATGTATGTGTTTCTGGTGTGGTTAAATTCATTCTTTTCAGTCATCTACACAGGATTATTTTACATTGTGACAAAATAGAGACATTTACCTGAGGCAACTCCTGGTGTGTCAGGTGGGGATGTTGTAGAGCAATCAACAGTTTCATTGTTTTCCCCAAACTCTCTCTTGTAGATAGACAGCATGTAGGATATTCTGTAGTCCAGTCTAACACTGAGAATAAACTACAAGAAAAAAACGGGTTTTAAATAAGATTTTCCTCCTGCAATTTGATAACATGGGTTAGGATTCTTCTGTGGTGGAACATACAGGGATACATCATTGTTTCAAGCAAATTATTAAGGAAATTATTTTAAGTAAATGTCCACTACAGAAAAAGGAATCCGTTACATTCATCAGTTTTCTGTGATTTCTTTCTTCACTCTAACCATCCTGAGACATATTGAGCTCTGCCCTATTAGCTGCTGAATGCTAAGCAGCAGACTGGATGTGTCCAGGGGCTCCAGCACACTGCCCTGTCCTCACTGCAAGCCAGATCAGTATGTTCAGACCCATGTTGAAACCAATTATTTCACATTTCAGCTGGACTTCCAATGCCCCACAAAGATAACAATTGGAGTGGGAAGAGAGCAAAGACATCCTGCTCAAGGCTCACCCTCTCAGTTACCCAAGAGATACCCTTTTGTTCCTCAGCTGTGAAATTGGAAATGCATCCAGGAAAAATCTTGCATCAGAGCTGAAGTGTTGCTTTTATATTGGAATAGTGTGGAAAATACCTCAGCTGGAAACATTAGTACCAGTTTAAGGACTGACATTTATACTTCCAACACTTCAACATCTGACTGCCCATGGACAGAGTTTCAGTGTTTCCCACACGGATGCTCCTTGCCCACAGGAAATGCAAACACATAATCAAACAGGTTTAGGATCATTTAAGGTATTTTACAACCAGTGGGGATGAAAGCACATAGGTTTCACTACCAAGGCTGAGGCAACAGGTGATCTGAAAGGTGACTTAGCAAATGGGGCAAACTGTTTCTTTGACCTGTAACTAAAGTCGAACATGGTCCCCCATTGTAATAGGATTTGTGTTTTTTGGTTACATGATTGAGTTACCCTGTAATTGCACATGTAAGATTTATAAAAATAAAAATTTCTCAAGTCCACACACAGTGAACTAAGTCTATCAGGCCATCTGTTTCATCTGGCTGATGGCAGAATGGAAACTTGTAAGCAAAAAAACCTTCATTTAAGCAGTAGAATATATTGAGAATTAAATTATTATAAACTGAAATATCTCTTACAATAGAATAGCTTTAATCACCATTGTAGCAGCTATGCATGATAATACAATGAATACAATAAACCTAAAATAGTCTTACTTGCCTTTGGAGTAATAACACAATAAGTAATGAAAGGTAATGTGATTTAAATTAATCCTCCTTCATTGCATATTAATTGAAACCAAATTATTTTGTATTTCTTGTAAGCTAGGATCACATACATGCACATTTACTGGGATTCATCCAGCATATGACAATTTGCTAATCTGCAGTAATTTGACCATGTGACTAATCCATAACTAATAAGCAACAGGTTAAGTAACAAATTAGGATTAAATGCTCTCCAATCTTGGGTGTTCTTGCACTGAATGTGCTGTGAGAAAGGAAAGGATGAGACAAAATGTAACTCTCTCAGGGAATGCACAGGACAAGATTGGTGTCCTGAAATCATCCTCCTAGGCATTGACCAGTAAAGCAAGACAGTATGGAGAGAAATTCAGTCCTAAGAACAAATGAAAATGAGAAGCCATACACCTGAATAGTATTATTTAGGTGATCTAACTTCATAAGACTCTGTCCTTCACTATAACCTTTAAACTAAAGGAGCCCTGGAACCAAAGAATGCAGTACTGAGGATACACAATTGATAGCCTTTCAGTGACAAGTAATTAGAGTAATCGAAAGCACTAATGAGCAGTCAGAACAAATAGACTCCTTCAAAAGTGACAGTGGTACTGACAATGGTACCAACGGATCCACAGCATTTATAGAAAGCACTGAAACATTCCCTCAGGGCATAAGGGTTGTGGAAACTGGGATTTGATAGGCAGAGCAAACGTATGCCACTTCACTTATTAATAGCACAAGGTGAAAATTGTGCCTCAGGAGGCATGCTAGTGTCATACAGCTTGGGGGTCAGCTGGGAGAAAATCACAGCAGCCCACAGACTGTTCTCAACCTAACAGTGGAAATCTGAAATGCACTTCAAAACTGTGCAGCCTTGCACAACTTCAGCGGGTCTGGGTCCAATTCTGCCCTTCATCCAACTACTGCAACAGAAGAGTCAAATACTAAAGTTAAGCAACTACCCCAGCATAAAATAAATGTTAGAGAAACTGGGAACAGACACTGTCTTCAGAAAACATTACAGGATAAGTTCTGTCTTTTCACAGTCATAGTGACAGTTTCTACAGCATCTCATTCCTTCAAAAGTGAGGTAGGTACAGCAGAATGAGGACCACAACTGTACAACTGTTCACACAGAGGAGCATTCTTCCTCATATAAGAGTTATTTTTACGATGAACAGCCCAGTGAATAGTAAGAATGTAGGTAAGAGAACTTGCCACTATGTGAATGACTGCCATGTAATATTCCACCAACCATTATTACCTGCAAAATCTCAATGATTTTCAGTTTGGTGTCCATTACGATCACATCTTCACTGTCTGAGGTGCTGGCTTGCTTGCTTGGGTGAATGCTTGGCTGTATATCAGGGGTACTAATGGGAAATATAGATCCTCTGCTCAGCACCATTTGGGTCATCATCTCTCCTACACCATGGATGGTCCTCATAACGTTGTTTCCTATGCATTGAACAAAACCACATACATTTGCCATGCGTAAAGCTGTGTTATCACACATAGACCCATGTCGTCAAACCCCTTCACATTCTCAACAGGCATATTGAAAAAGAAGCCCTCAAATCCTGGAAAACTCAGGAGAATTAATTCATTCAAATTACCCAATGGTTTAGGGAAAAATTTTCTACACTGATTTTCCAAAACATCATTTCTTACAGGTGAACATATGGAAAATATGCCAGAATATTTACAGAGCTTGGTCAACATATTTAATAAATTTCAAAAACTAGAGCTAAAGAAATGTTAGTAGTTCTTCTAACTCATTCCTTTGCTGAAGGTACATTATGTACATCTAAGTAAATTTCTTAAAGAGGTTTCTTTAACCCAGTTTTAAGGATATTTGCAAACTAAGTGTTGCATATCCCACATTATACAGCATCCCTAGGCAAGCGATATTTGACTATGTTTATAATCAGAAAACTTTTATTGCTATTTTATTTATATCATCTATTGCTGCAATTTATGACCTCAATTGTAGACACATGGGAGTTCATTTTCTATGCCTGGTCCCACTGATGTCTTCACCACCACAACTGAACATGTGTGATTGACAGCAGGGTTACCTTTGTCACTGCAGAAGCTGGAAGGAGAGTATCCAAGCACCTTATATGTCACATTACAAGATAGTAAAGATTTGAGGCCGTGCAAGTCTGATCAATCTCTGCACGTGGTCCAAATGACAGGCCACAAACCAAAGCCAAGTGACACCACTAGCCAACCATCCCCTTTCAAAAAAGTCCCAGGAGAATGCCAGACTTGAAGGCTGTCCTGAAGGTTAAACTAGTATCTGTAATCACAATGTCCTTCATAAGTTATAAATGAGGGAAAAAATTACTGCACACTCGTGTGGCAAAAACTTTATCCAATCTAGTTGCAATGGTACCTACAACTGATGCCAGTTCAGTAAAATCTACCAGGAAATACCATCTCTTCTCATGGACTACACTGGTCTTTATAGTTAATTTTGATGTGAAAAGCATCTCAGTGAATCATTGTCTATCTTCTTGCAAAAGTGGGCAGAAGGAAGAATATCATGCTACCCACCTACATGAATTAGCTTCCTTTCTTGCAAAGCAAGGAATGAATGGAGGAAAAGAAGGGAATGACAGCATCTCTTCACAGAAAGAGTGCCAAGACCTAGACTATGCCAAAGGCTAAGAAAAGACTGGAAGAAACATATCTTTGGTGAGAGAAGCCTGAATAGTTCTATGACTTTTAGTACAGTTTAATCACCGTGCAAGGGACAAGCTTTACTCCCACTGAAGAGACCCTCTTCCCAGATAATCTGCTGTAAAAAGCTAAAGCTATGATTTATTTTGTTAGCAATATCCTCTTATGCCCTTCTTTCTTCAATCCACAGAGCTTAAGTACTGCAGGCA